TACACAGAATATGTCTTTCCGTATTAAACATGAAAATTGTCTTATAAGTAATGTACACAGAATATGTCGTTCCGTATTAAACATGAAAATTGTCGTATAAATAATGTACAGAGAATATGTCGTTCCGTATTAAACATGAAAATTGTTTTATAAATAATGTACAGAGAATATGTCGTTCCGTATTAAACATGAAAATTGTCGTATAAATAATGTACAGAGAATATGTCGTTCCGTATTAAACATGAAAATTGTCTTATAAGTAATGTACAGAGAATATGTCTTTCCGTATTAAACATGAAAATTGTTTTATAAATAATGTACAGAGAATATGTCGTTCCGTATTAAACATGAAAATTGTCGTATAAATAATGTACAGAGAATATGTCGTTCCGTATTAAACATGAAAATTGTTTTATAAATAATGTACACACTATATTGAACAAAAAAATTGTCGAATAAATATATATACACTGAACGCGTTTTCCCATGTTCAACTAGAAAATCGTCTAACGAAAATATACGCAGAACAAGTTTCCCTATGTTGAACAAAAACTTTGTTTTATAAATAATGTACAAAGAACGTGTCCTCTCGTATTGAACGAGAAAAAGTGTTTTAAAAATAATGTACACAGAGCGAGTCATCCCATATAGAACAAGAAAACTGTCCAATAAAAACATACACAGAACGTGTCGTCCCATATCGAACAATAAGCGACATACACAGAACGTGTCGTCCCATGTTGAACAATAAGCGACATACACAGAACGTGTCGTCCCATGTTGAACAATAAAAACTTTCTTACTAATAACGTAGGCGTAGGAGGCAGGGGGTCAAGGGGGCAATTGCCCCCAGATGCTAGCCCCAATTGTTTTTCGGGCAAAAATCACCCAAAATGTTCGGGCTAAAGTTTCGTACATATCTATAATTTTTATATTTGCAAACTGATTATGCCTTTTCAGAAGATATGTTACCCGCACGTGACATTTTCACTTGTACATTTTTAACCCTTTAGCACCGCATGGAAGTCATTGGAAACGTTTTCTTCAAGCGACTTTAAACCTTATAGTATATGATTTTAAGGTCGATTTTATATTTTCGAGCAAAACTTGCTTGCCCCTCCAGTCAAAATCAAACCCCTACGCCTATGAGTTGATTATATCTTAAACGTTAAGTGTTCACAACCACTCTTTACCGTATTTTTTTGGAGGACTAAATATGGTTTGGTATGTTCTTGTTAGGTCAGTCAATAATGTCACTACATCCGAAATCAGAACATGCGGTTTTCTATCTTACTGTTTACTTCATATCTTACGCTGTTATGGTAGACGAGAGTTTTTGACTTCCCAGCTTCTTCCCGTAGAACTTGGGCACTTCGGCGCGTGAGGATAAGGTCATACTTTCCATCCTTATCATTCATGTAGACAAAAACATCGATAGATTTCGACTTCGTCAGAATTTCTTTGTCGTTTTGGTGGATGACTGCTTCGCACTGTTCTTGAGCATTCTTGAAACAGACTTGGCCTGGTAAAATTGGTTGATTTAACGCTGAAGTTAGCATCCAAGCAATCTCTCTTCGTAATGTTTCTTTCACGATACAAAATCTTACCCATGACATCAACATGGCCAGGGAGATGTAGAAAGGAATAAAGGGCACGTGCGAGTAGACTTCCGTTTCCGATGACGGATAAATGGTTGTTTTATCCATGTCCCACATTGTTGTTGTTTCTGTTGAATAAACATGCCAACAGTTCGATAATATTTTAATAGGCTTAAAGTATTTCCAAAACTCTCTGACTGTACGTTTTAAAAATACAATAAATATTGTAAACTTAATCACTGGCTAACAGAATCTTACTCGGAACGAGATGTTTATCATATTACACATTTTTCTCATGATTAAAAAGAAAGCATGTTTAAAATGATTATATATAATAACTATTGTTCTCGGAGGACTACATTTCATTAGAGACAGAAGAAGAAACACTTTTAGCCAGCAAAACTTTGACATCATACAGAGTTTCAAAGTTGTAAGATAAGGTTTTCACTATGCTTGCCCCCCAGTGGTACAGTGGTATGATTGCGGACTTACAACGCTAGAATCCGGGTTTCGATACCCGTGATGGGCGGAGCACAGATATCCCATTGTGTTGATTTGTGCTTAACTTCAAACAAATCAATATGCTTTTTGTCATTTTCAATCAACGCATCAAGCCAACATCTAAATGAAGGTATTGAAGCATCGTGTATTCTAGATGGGAGTTAATCAGACCTTAAAATCTGAAGCTAATTTTTAATGGCTGTTTTCAGAGCTCCCAAATTTCTTGGGTTATTCCGAAAACGTATTCTCTTAGAAGAACCCCCAGTCAAAACCAGCCTGTTGGTGCAATACCTCCCGCCAGCCGAAATTAGCCTTTTGGTGCAATATCTCTATTTAATTGAACAGTTTGTGATTCTGTTTGTTTGTTTGTTTTGAATTTCGCGCAAAGCTACACGAGGGCTATCTGCGCTAGCCGTCCCTAATTTAGCAGTGTAAGACTAGAGGGAAGGCAGCTAGTCATCACCACCCACCGCCAACTCTTGGGCTATTCTTTTACCAACTAATAGTGGTGTTGACCGTCACATTATAACGCCCCCACGGCTGAAAGGGCGAGCATGTTTGGTGGGACGGGGATTCGAACCCGTGACTCGCAGATTGCGAGTTGAGCGTCCTAACCACCTGGCCATGCCGGGCCTTATGATTCTGTCTTAAAGCAAAATAAAAAGTTTAACGGGATGACGGATATGGGAGTGGGTGGGGTAGATTGTCTTGTCTTATTAGAAGGTACGTTTTCAAATACTTGTTTGTGAAAATATTGTTTAGGTATGAGTTATGATTTTTTAGCTACCTGCACTATATCCAAGCATTTTTGGAAATATTAGAGAATTACTTCTAACCAAAAACGTACAAAAAAGTACCACGACATGAAAGATAACAAATTTAAAGATATAATGAAGAAAACTTGATCTTGCAAAAAATTAAATTGCTCCAACTTTTCATCAAAACTACTTGTTAAGTAATAGTTCACGAAGTAATCGTTTGAATGATCACTTCAAAATATTGGCCTTAAAATATGAATCGTCACTGTAAAAATATAAAATGACAATGTGTAATACTTTTTATTCGTATCTCATAAGATCACTTTTATAATTCAGCTTTAAGAACTCATAGTACTGTCTTGCCAGTGGATAGTCATTCCTGCAAATCCAATGTAAGAAAATGTATCATCTTATCAAATTTGACCTGCAACCAAATATTTAGGGGAAAAAATATTCACTTTATGCAACGAGTTTAGATAGTCAAACATCTTATTTTATCCTTACCCTCAAAAACGTGAAATTTCGAACTAGACAAGGGAGTTTCTTCCACTGAAGTAGTTTCGTGGACTATTTTCTTTTCATTTCGAGTCGAGTATACTTCAAAGGTTTGTGTTGAGTGCCAAGGAATGTCCGTTCTTTTTAATGCATAGGTAGTTTGAAAAATAGTTGGTATTAGGATGCCTGTTTGTCTGTTACTCGTTTTGTATTGTTTTAAGTTTCCAGAGGAACTCGTTTCGCCATTCCTCTGCGATTGAATGTCGTCTGGTACATACAATGACGCTCTTAAAGGCACTACTTTGGAGGATTGTTTGTTCCAAATGAAGTTTGGTGTTGCATCTGTAGAAATAAAAGATTTGAGGTTAAACTTACTGGTGATCGTCAATGATCTTTCCAAGATATAACTTCTTAAATCTGGGTCTGATGATGAAGACAGTTCTAGGCTCCGTGGAGGTATTTCTCGAAAATCCCTATAGACCTTGGTTGGCTTCAGAGCAACCACTGGGCTTATGAGAAGATGGGGATTTATACCGTAATCTTCTATTTTATTTTCATTCTCATCTTCTAAAAAATATTTATTAGCTGTTTTAGAAACGAATTGTTCATTGGGAAGAAGATTCGGGATTGAATAACTATCTTCAATAGTGTCATTCGGATCGTAGGCTTTAAATGTATGGGATTCTGGAGAGTCGTTCAATTTATGCACATCAACAGGATCTACCTGTCGTGGGTCAACTAGATTTGCCTGAATGTCAGGATATGTAGGAATACTAGGCTCTTTTGAATTATCAACGAAAGTTGGAATATGGAACGCAACTGAGGTTCGAGGCTCTACTGGAAGGTTGGACTCTAATGCACTATCATACTTTATTTGAATATCGAATTGGGTTGAAATATTGGAAACTGTTACATTATCAAGCTCTGTTGGGCTATCGGGTCGTGTTGGAACATCGAAATCTGTTGGATTGTCAGGCTGTGTTGCAACATCAGGCTTTGTTGGATTGTCAAAATGTGCTACAGTATCGTGATCTATTAACTTATCAAGATCTTTTGAATCATCAAGTTGCATTACAATGCCAGAAACTGTTACATTATTAAACCCTGTTGGATTGTCAGGTTGTATTGGAACAAGGAGCCCTTTTGGATTAACAGTTTCAGGTGAAACATCAGAAGCTATTAAGTTTAAATTATCAAGCCCCATTGACACATCATGCTCTGTTGAAACATCACTTCCTCTTATAGTATTATGTTCAGTTGGAATATCAAGTTCTGTTAAATTATCAGACTCTGTTGGAAAATAAATTTTTGCTGTTGTATTCACGTGCATTGGAATATCTGGTTCTATTGCAGCATCTATTTGTGATGAAATATGTGCTGGAACATTAAGTTCTGTTGTGGTGTTTGGTTGCTTTGTGATATTAAGATATGTTTTGTTGTTGTATTGTACTGAATAATTGGGTATTATTGAAGAATCGTGCTGTATCAAAACGTTAGAGAGAATTGTAGTGTTGTGCTGTCTTGGAATGTTGGATTGTATTATAGTATTGTGCTGCATTGAAATTTTGGACCGCGATGTTGTGTTATAACCAACTAAAACATTAAAATGATTTATGGTGTTATTTTCTAGTGGAATATCTGGATGTATTGTAGAGTTATGTTGTAACAGAAAGAGACTGGAAACAGTAAGTTCATCTGTACCAAAAGATGTAAAAGTTTGGGAAGAAACATACGTATGGTTCTCCAATCCTGATAGAGATACATTAAGCTTATGGTTTTCCAATCCTGATAGAGATACATTAAGCTTATGGTTCTCCAATCCTGATAGAGATATATTAAGCTTATGGTTTTCCAATTCTGATAGAGATACATTAAGCTTATGGTTCTCCAATTCTGATAGAGAAACATTAAGCTTATGGTTCTCCAATCCTGATAGAGATATATTAAGCTTATGGTTTTCCAATTCTGATAGAGATACATTAAGTTTATGGTTCTCCAATCCTGATAGAGATACATTAAGCTTATGGTTCTCCAATCCTGATAGAGATACATTAAGCTTATGGTTCTCCAATTCTGATAGAGATACACTAATGGTTTGTTGTGTAAAAGCAGCGTTGGACCAAACGTGTAAATTATTAAAGAAATCGTTTGACGGAATAAATGAAGTCATCTGCTTAGGAAACTTAGTCTTTTCTGAGTTTACTTCTATGTTTCTTGTAGCAAATATTTCGGCAAAATGAATTGGCAGGTGATTTGAAAAAGCTAATCGCTTAGAACTTTGCTCCGGTGATAAAACATAATCTTCATCTTCGTCAGAAATTAGGCTTCTTGAATAAGTAGCTCTCCAAATGATATCGCTTGAGATTTCTACCAAATTGTCTGGGATCTGTTCTGTATGAAATATATGAGATTCCTCAGAAATAATATCGCTATTAGGACTCATTTCACTAGAATATATAGTACTGGAATAACTGAAAACAGAATCACTATGATGTGACATTAAGAAAATGTCTTTAGTGAATTCATTTATTTTCTTTGAAGAAGTAAAAAGAGTACTTTCCTCATCTATTCGAAAAGTCGGTCTTTTTTCCTCGATGTCCTCGTCTGACATACAGCTAGTCAGATGAGGTAATCTTGGGCTCAAATCTACAAAGGTCGAAGAACCAATGGAAGAAAATTGGAATGTTTCGTTTCGAAGACTAAAAGTATACAAATTCACAATATCACTTGAAGAGATCTCAACAGTTTTTAATAGACCAACATCAACAGGAGAAGGAGAAATGTTGAAAGTTACTATCGGAAGTTCGGAAATTTTAAAGCTTAAAACATTGGAAAAAACTGGAGAAACATCAGGTAAGTGAGCCAACTTCGAAGAGGGCTGGATCTCATACTTAGTTTCGGAGTTAAATCCCAGACTGTCAGAACCGCTAAATTCTATTGATCCATACAAATTATTTCTCAGAACCGGAGAACTTACTTCTTGTTTACTTCCTACAATGGTTCTTGGATTTAAAGTACTCGTTTTTTTACAAGATAAACAGATAATTGTTCTGAGAGCCCATGTGGTGGAAAGCGTAGAACTAAACCGAAAATTATCCAAATGGTTGAAGCTAGCTTGTCTTTCTACCCGTGAAAAACTGGTTTGTTCTTCATCACGATCGTTAATCAACCAACTATTTTTTATATCGGAGCTGGTACCAATACTGAACTCATGTACACCAATCACATTTGTGGTGAACCTACTCGAAGTAGGCATTTCCATTACATTCTCTACTTCAAAAGATGGGTCATCAGGGTTATACGACTGGGACAATGTCACTTGATGAGTGCTGAAAGGTAACAACGTATCTAAGAAAGAAGACTTTGGGTAAACATGGTACAAAACGGTCGAATGTGATGAAATCGGAGATGACCAAATATCGATTTTTTCATTTTCTGGATGAGAACGAACTCTCGGTACTGCAACTTCTGCTTTCCCGTCAGCCATGCAGTGTTGAAGGAAAACTGATAAAACGTAGAAATAACAATTAATTTAACGTTCACATGTATATATACGTGTAAATATATAACAGTTAATTTAACGTTCACATGTATATATATACGTGTAAATATATAACAATTAATTTAACGTTCACATGTATATATACGTGTAAATATATAACAATTAATTTAACGTTCACATGTATATATACGTGTAAATATATAACAATTAATTTAACGTTCACATGTGTATATACGTGTAAATATATAACAATTAATTCAACGTTCACATGTATACATACGTGTAAATATATAACAATTAATTTAACGTTCACATGTATATATACGTGTAGATATATAAAAATTAATTTAACGTTCACATGTATATATACGTGTAAATATATAACAATTAATCTAACGTTCACATGTATATATACGTGTAAATATATAACAATTAATTTAACGTTCACATGTATATATACGTGTAAATATATAACAATTAATTTAACGTTCACATGTATATATATACGTGTAAATATATAACAATTAGTCGAACGTTCACATGTATAAATGTACAAATATATAACAATTAGTTAAACGTTCACATGTATAAACGTGTAAATATATAAAACAATAATTTGAAAGATGTAAACTGTTCGGAAAGTAAGTTGATCGTCCATATTTTATTGCAATGGAGCTTATGTTATTTATAATTGTTTAACGCGTTCTACATTCGATTCCATGTTTCCTGCTTAGAAAACACGCTCCAGGTAATTACAGTAGTCACGAACATTTGACAGTTGCAGCTATCTCGGTGAGAGCCCGATTTTTTATGAATACAAAATGTCCATTTAGTTTTTAGAATTTAGGTGCCCCACCCACAGTGGCTCAGCAGTAAATCTAAAGGCTTGTATCGCTAATATTCAGGTTCCGATACCTGTGGTGGACACAGCACAGATAGCTCATTGTGTAGCTTTGTGTTTAACAGAAAACAAGAATTTATGTATAAATTATATATTATTATACATATATATGGATCATATTTCACTAGTTGAAATGTGGGGCGTAATTCAGTCAGCGTTGTCGTGTGTACATATAATGTATTCATTCTCCTAATAATGTTTCCGTTAAATTATCCTATTTGGTTATAACAATTTTTCAAAAGGTGCCTAGCCTGACTATAAGTAGTTTATTAATTTGTTATATCTGTTTAATTTCTAATAATTTTTAATGAAGAGATATAACATTCAGTCACGAATATTTGTTCTTGGATTTTCAGAAGTTGATTTTATTGATAAAGCAACAGAATTGAAATGATAACAGGCAACTTTTAACATCTATTTTTCAGAATATTTCCTGAATGAATATTTGGAAAAAACTTGAATTTGCAAATTGAAATCTGAAAGGAATTCCCATTACCGTTGTATCAAACTGTTAAAAAAATACCAATAAACCAACTTGGAATTTAAAGTTTTTAAGGGATTGGCCGAAACCTTTACTTTTCCAAAATATTAACATTAATAAGGTTATTTCAACAAAAATATTTTTAATATAAAAAGAAATTCATCTTTAAACTTAGTTATGAAATTCTGATTGATTTTTCAGTAAATCAGCTTTTAAATCAAAGTCATTTTATATATGTACGGAGTTAATCGAAAAAATCGAAATACTCGTGTATATGTACGGAGTTAATCGATAAAGTCGAAATACTAGTATAAATGTACGGAGTTAATCGAAAAAATCTAAATACTCGTATATGTGTACGGAGTTAATCGATAAAGTCGAAATACTCGTATAAATGAACGGAGTTAATCGAAAAAATCGAGATTCTAGTGTATATGTGTACGGAGTTAATCGATAAAGTCGAAATACTAGTATAAATGCACGGAGTTAATCGAAAAAATCTAAATACTCGTATATGTGTACGGAGTTAATCGATAAAGTCGAAATACTCGTATAAATGTACGGAGTTAATCGAAAAAATCGAGATACTAGTGTACATGTACGGAGTTAATCGAAATACTCGAATATATGTACGGAGTTAATCGATAAAATCTAAATACCTATAAGTTTGTTTTGAATATCTATGCAAAGCTACACAAGAACTACCTGGACTATCCGTTCCTAATTTTGAACTGATACGTTCAAGGGTAGGAAGCTAATCAGCAGCACCCACTGTCAACTGTTGGACTACCCTAATCGAATAGTAGGTTTTGACTATTACTCTTCTAACGTAGTCACGGCCATAAAGTGCGCAATGTAATTTCGTGGACATCTATAAAGAATTGATTGGTTAATAAGTCTGCTGTAACATCACATCGTATGTAGGGAATGGTCAAATATACCTACCTTTTAAGTAATTAGTTGGTAAACACACATTTCTTGAATGTAAGTAATAAGAAAATAAACGCTGTTGCATTACAAGATTTATCAGAAGGAAAAATGTAATTTTTCCATCATACATTCTTTCAGTATATAAATTACAATTTTACATCATGAAATCGGGAAGAGATTAATCAGTAACTGTTCTACATTATTAACTTTGATGGGATGGAAAATTAATCATAAAATAACTAGTAGAATATACTTTTGGTTTTGAAGGTAAGGTTTATTAGAGATGACTCAATAAGCCTAATTTCCCATTATAAATCAAACTTATAATTACGTCATATAAATTTAAAGTATTCTTTATGATAAAACCTTGTGAAATAATGGCTTCGATAGAAAACATATTTTGAAACGAAAAATCTTAAAGTTGATGAGAGTACCATATTTAAAGTCAATTTCTTTTACATAATACAATTTGAAATGGATAAGTAAAAAAAAAAAATCAAGGTTACATATTAAAGTCGAACATATAAGTCAATAAATTCATTTTTCGACGTAAAACTTCGTACAATTTACCTTTCGTTATTTTCAGATAAAGAAATTGTTTCTTACCCGTCCAGAAGTTGAACAACAGAGGGAGACACCAGTAATACCTTTTTTCGTGATGTGGCATATTATTTAAAAAACGCTTTTTGATTTCAGGATTAATTTATCTTCTTTGTACTTAAGGTTCAGACGACCTACATGAAAACATATTGGAAGTTATCATTTAGTTATTCAGTTTTGAAATCAATATTTTGATAAAAACGTCCGTGCTTGTCAACCCACCCAATAATGCTGAGTGATGAGTGAGCTACATACACAAAATGGTTGCCCACAGGGACGAAACAATTTTCTTGTTTTAAGTTAAGGAAATTGTTTGTAACTTTAATTTATTTTTTCCAAAAAAAAAAAGGGAAAAAATATTCAACCCTTTTATCAATATTTCAAAAAACGTAAATGACCAATGATTTTTCTTCGTTTTTAAGCAATGTATTTGTTGTGCATACGAAAAATATATATTGACTTTAAAACATATATATACATAGAGAGAGAGAGCGCGCTGGATTAAAAATAACCCATGTTAGTCAAAGATGTGACTTAAGCTAAAAGAAGAGAGCAGATAAAGTGCTGAGGGGTAATTACACTTTATGAGAACGATGCTTCAGGTCTCGAGCTGCCCTTGGAACTACTTTCTCCATCGTAGATCATGTTCTATCTGATGGACGTGATTACGCAGTATTGCTTGGCACCGCGGATTTCATTGTAACCACCTTCACTGAAGGACGACTAGATCAATTGATCAGAACACACACATCTTCAACTTACCACAGACTCTACACACAACAATCCATTGCAGCTGCATCGGGGACTTGACAGGCACGTGGTCGAATGGAATTGACGTGATACGAGTTCCTTCAATAATCTTCCCCTGAAAGCAGCTGTTGATTTTAACTTCCGACTGCTTCAAATACGTAATTATTTATTTGTTAACGGTACGAGGAGATACGCCCAACTTCATCACAATGGCTTTTTCACCAAGCTACACGACGTATCAGTTACTATGGTAGTACATGCAAGGTATTGTGTTTTCACCTAGCTACACGACGTATCAGTTACTATGGTAATACATGCGAGGTCTTGTGTTTTTCACCTAGCTACACGACGTATCAGTTACTATGGTAGTATATGCGAGGTCTTGTGTTTTCACCTAGCTACACGACGTATCAGTTACTATGGTAATACATGCGAGGTCTTGTGTTTTCACCTAGCTACACGACGTATCAGTTACTATGGTAGTATATGCGAGGTCTTGTGTTTTCACCAAGCTACACGACGTATCAGTTACTATGGTAGTACATGCGAGGTATTGTGTTTTCACCTAGCTACACGACGTATCAGTTACTATGGTAATACATGCGAGGTCTTGTGTTTTCACCAAGCTACACAATGTATCAGTTATTCCGGAGACGTATGCTATTTGTGTGTTAAGACAGCTACACTATTTAACCCATTGGGTTTCCAAATATATATTTCCATTCATTTAGTTATGTGTCAAACTGCCTGTGAGTCTATGACATTAATAACATATGAATCACAGAGAAAATGTACAAATTCACCCAATTTTTGATTAGCATTGTAACAGGCACAACCATGCTATGATTCAATATACAGACCCTGCCTTTATGGTTGGTTTGGTTTTGAATTGCACGCAAAGCTACACGAGGGCTATCTGCGCTAGCCGTCCCTAATTTAGCAGTGAAAGACTAGAGGGAAGGCATCTAGTCATGACCACCCACCGCCAACTCTTGGGCTAATCTTTTACCAACAAATAGTGGGATTGACCTTCACATTATAACACCTCCACGGCTGAAACAGGCGAGCATGTTTGGTGGAATGAGGATTCGAACCCACATATTGCGAGTCGAGCTCCCTAACCACCAGGCCATGCCGGGGCTCGCCTTTAGGAAGCGGTATAAAAACGTCTGTAATTTAAGGGTTCTCACACAGAAGACATAAGTAACAATATTGTAGTTAGTGTATTTATCCCTCACTCTTAAGGCATGTTAGGCCTTGTTTTTTCACCTACCCACACAACACCTACTTCATAGTTTTGTTTTCCCTTATTACACTACGTAAAACATGTTATAATTCTAGTTTTAAACCACTTTTATCAATCTCAAATCACCTTTTAGTCGTACTTTAGTTAAGAGCTTACTGTCAAGATATACCTCCTTTTTTTGTCTGGTGATGTTAAACTGTATATAAAAAAAGGTTAAGAATTTCGAAACATCAATTTTATCTTCAAGTAAAATATAATTTTCTCACCACTACTTTAATATGGTTTCGCGGTAAATTCTGGCTGCAATCGTGATAATGTAACCAAACTTAAGTTTGTTTGGTATAAATTTCGTCCAAAGCTACACGAGGGCTATTTGCGCTAGCCATCCTTAATTTAGAAGTGACAGACTAGAGGGAAGGCAGCTAGTCAACATCACCCATCGCCAACTCTTTTATCAACGAATAGTGGGATTATCCTGAAAGGACAAGCATGTTCGGTGACAGGGATTCGAACCCGCGACCCTCAGATTGCGAGTCACGTGTGCTGACCACCAGGCCATGCCAGACCCAAACTTTTAAGTCACGTGTTTGTAATAGTCTAGCGTCGTGAGGAATAACAGTTGAAAAATTAGTAAATGATGAAACACCGTATCTTTCAAGAGTTCAACTTGTACTGGTTGTGGTGAGATCTAACTACAAACGAGATGTAGTAATCAGACTGTATGAAACAGGGACTAAAACTTCAAAGCATCAACTTTATCTTACATCCGTACTCCATTTCAGAACAGGGTGGAATTTTTGATTATAATTATTTGCGTAGTGTGTTTATAAAATTATTTGTCTAGATTACGCTTGTATAACACAGGTTGAAACTTGTACTTTTTTGTTCAGGTAGTCGCGGCATAGATTTTGTCAACAAATGATTTACCTTACCATAATCTTAAATAACGGAACGTGTCTGTTTTACTAATCTTAAGTTTAAGAAGATCTAAAGCCTTTATTTCTGGACCAATTCTAGAATATATTTGAATTCGTTAAAGTAACAAGTCATATTGGTCACACTCACGATAAAAATACAATTTAAAAAACATCCGCAGGCGGAAATCCCACACGTACATTTGTAAAAAGTATTAAGATTGATCCATAATCCCCCTCCACACTTCTTAAAGCAAAAAAAAAACAACTGTTTTCAGTGATAATAAGTACATTATGCAACGTTAGCCTTGCTAGGAAACAGTTAAAAAATATTGCCCGAGGCCGCCATAAATAATTTATGTTTAGAGCTTCAAATGATGGCCTCTCAGATATGTTTGTTCAGCAAGAACTACGTGTTGAAGAAGAATAATGGCTGTAGGAAACGCCTCCCTCTCAGCTGACAGTGGCATCATACAGTGCCAAACACACTATAGAAAAGAACAGCGGTTGATGAACATAAAAAAAAACGGTGGAAAATTTGATTACTTTTTTTACATACACTATATCTGGGGGGCATCCAAGTAAGATTTGGGAGAATATCAAAATTCCATTACTAGAACTATTTGAGATTCTAATAGTGGTTTAAGCCACACACAGTTGATTTGGAACATTCTAAGCACGTTGAACCTGCTTTTGTAATGTTCAAACTTCGTGACAAGTATTCACTAAAACATATGTTTCTTTATTTACTCCAGCGTTATAATCGCTTTTAAGCACGTGAATCTAGATTATCTGTTTAAAATATCCAGTGTTCAATCCTTTTAGGGTAAATACTTTCTACGTACTGTATATATATATAAACAGAATTACTAACATTTGTTATTTATTCTATAAATAAACATTTTCTGGACGTTTCTTAACACCAATACAATCAAAATAGAACTTACCTTGCAGTCAATGAAAAATAGAACGATACAAACATAACGAAAAATCAGTAAACACTTAAACAACTCATGCTAAAACTACGTGATACTAGAAGATCAGAGTACTTGGCCAAATTCTTTGGATTTTTCAATCTATCAGATTGTAAACTATGTCATGGTTGGTAAATTTGAAAACATTCTAGAACATCGATCGTAACCCGATCTTTCCCCTAGATTTAACGCCCACGAGCACGTGATTATTAATCCTTTAATTTCATCATACACCAAGATTAAATTTGAAATTGTATACTTGATACGCGCCCGTATCGTCTTTAATACGACATAAGTGAAAGTGAGAGAAAGTTTTTTTTTTTTTTATATTATCCTCACCACTCCACGAGTTTATACGTTTGTTTGGTTATACAGAAACGTAATACGTCTACTTGAGTGATGTGTCGTGTAACGAACCAGATTGCACTTAAACAACGTGACTTACATTTTTGTGCGGGTGGGAAATCAATTAACACAAATTGTGCTCATGCTTCGCATTCACAGAATTCTCTGTTTGAAAAAAAAAGGTGGAGTTTTTGTGCTAATGATAAAAAACGTGAAAATAGATTAGCTTAAGCTGCAAGATCGAAAAAAAAAGGAAATTGTTTGTTTGTAATTAAGCACAAAGCTATACAATGGACTATCTGTGCTCGAACCACGGATTCTAGCGTCGTAAATCCGCAGACATGCAAAGAAAAAATCGGAGTTTATTTCTAAGTTAAACATAAAGCTACACAATGAGCTATCTGTGCTCTGCCTACCATGGGTATCGATACCCGGATTCTAGCGTTGTAAGTCTGTAGACATACCGCTGTGCCACTGGGGGGCTAAATTGTAAAAGTAAGAAAAAAAAACAACAACACTGGGGTTTCGCTCTAAGTGTCTTTCTA